GGGGTCTGCGTCGCTGGGGGCAGAGCTATTGGTACGGCGTTTAGGGCCCGGGCAGGGCCTCAAGGGCGAGGTGTGGTCACGCGGCGGACCCTACGCCGGTGTGGGCGGAGCTTAGTGCTCGGGGCGTGGCTCCTGGGCGGTTTGTCCAGCGCTCTTCCCCGCGCGCGGCGGGCTGGACAGCGGGGTCAGGGCTCCGGCCCTCGTGCCATCAAAGAGACCTCCTCATCCTCCCTGAGCCCCGTGCGCGCCCTCCATCCTCTCTGAGCCCCGGGTTCCCTCCTTCACGCGCAGGTTCCTGCCGCGTGCTCAGCCCCTTGCTGCTTGGGCCCTTGCTGGTCCCAGGATGCCTCCCTCTAGCCTCCCCACCTTCTGAGATGTTTCTCACATCGTCTTTAGATACAAGCTCAAAGCTTCCTAACACGGAACTGTAACAAGTCAAAATACAAAAGTGAATAAAGTATGGTAACCAGCGTGATTAGCCGCCCTCACCTATTCCTCTCTGGGCCTTAAAGGCACGTAGGCCTTGAGGGCACCTTGATCAACAGGCAAGGCCTCTGAGCCCCTTGCGTGATCGGAGCTTGTGAGATCTCATGGGATGGGCAAATAATAAAGGAAACACGCTAGTGCCAAGTGCCGCCATGTGAGCTGGAGGAAGAGAGGATGGAGCGCCCGGGATGGGGGACCCCAGCCAGAGGCGGCGGCCACTGCCGAAGCCCCACAGTGGGCACAGAGCCGTGCTGCTCAAGGCTTTGCGACTTGCTTCTAGCCAACAGAATGTGGCAGAAGTGATGGGCTGTCACCTTTCTCCTTGAATTGCTCACCATGACGTGAGGCAGCCCTGTGGAGACACCCACGTGGCGAAAGACAAGGCCTACCAACAAGTAATGAGGGACACAGCCCCTCCCAACAGAGCCTCGGCCAGTGGCTTGACTGCGGCCTCATGAGAGATCTTGACTCCAGGGTGCCCTGAGCACCTGACCTAGACTCCTGAGCCCAGAAACTGGGAGATAATACATGTTTGTTGTTTTAAGCCATCAAGTTTTGGGGGGCGATCTGTGACTCAGCCATAAACTTACCATAAGGGCAGGACTTTCCGTCTGTTTTATTTGCCGCTATGTCCTCAACACTTAAACAGTGCCTGGCACATGGAGATGTTCGATCGCTATTGTGAATAAATAAATGCAGTGTGAGGGTTAAGCAGGGCCGGGGTGGGGAGAGGCACGCCTGATTTATGTGTATAAAAGCCCACATTGAGTGCCATAAGGAGAGGGGACTGAGGCCTGCAGCGGTGGAGGTGAGGGGGGCAGGGGGAGTAGCAGAGAGCTGCCGAGACCCTCAGGGCAGAGCCGATGGATGCTGGGCCAGGGGTCCAGAGTGGAGGTGGAGAGAGGTGGGGCGAGGGGAAGGGAGGGATCATGGATGATCCTTGCATTTGGGCAGTGTGGAAATGCCCATCCCCAGGACCAGGAGGCCGGGCCGGGTTTGCGGAGGATGTGGGGGCTTCTGCCGTGTCGTGTGAACTCCGCGATGTGGCTGGGTGTCTGATGCAGACGAGAGAAGGCTGCCGTGCACACAAGACTGGTCTACGGGACCAAATCAGACTAAGAAGCTTCTGCACAGCGAAGGAAACCATCAACAAGGCGGAGAGGCAGCCATTGGAATAGGAGAACATATTTGCAAACAACACCTCTGATAAGGGCCTAATGTCTAAAATGTATAAAGAATTCATACAACTCAACAATAAAAAAAAAAATCCAATTAAAAGCTGTGTAGAGGACTTGGACAGACATTTCTCCCAAGAAGACATATAAATGGCCAACAGACACATGAAAAGATGCTCAGCTTCACTAGCTATGAGGGAAATGCAAATCAAAACCACAGTGAGGTACCGCCTCATGCCTGTTAGAATGGCTGTCATCAACAGGACAAGTGATAACAAGTGTTGGAGAGGATGTGGGGGAAAAGGAGCCCTCACACACGCAAACTGGTACAGCGCTGTGGAAGACAGCGCGGAGGTTCCTCATAAAATTAAAAATAGAATTACCATATGACCCAGCAATCTCTTCTGAGTATCTACCCAAAAAACTTGAAAACATTTATCTGCAAAGGTATATGCGCCCCAATGTCCGCTGCAGCATTATTCACAGTAGCCAAGGCATGGACGCAACCAAAGTGTCCTTCGATAGATGACTGGGTAAAGAAGCTGTGGTACATACATACGATGGGATATGACTCAGCCACAAGAAAGGATGAAGTTCTGCCATTTGCGACACCATAGATGGGTCTTGAGAGTATCACGCTAAACGAAATAAGCCAGACAGAAAAAGCTGAGAACCGTACGATTTCACCTATACGCGGGATATAAAATTGAAAGCAACAGGCGAACGTGACAACAAGCAGAGACTCATGGACACGGAGAGCGGATTAGGGGTTACCTGAGGGAAGGGGGCGGGGAGGTAGCTAAGGGTAAAGGGGATCAGATATATGGTGACAAAAGGAAATTTAACTTTGGGTGGTGAACACACAATGCAATATACATATGACGTGTTATTGAACTGTACACTTGAAACCTATGTAATTTGATTAATCAATGTCACTGCGATAAGTTAAATAAATAAATAAATAAATAAAAAGACTGTTCTAGAGGAAAGAGCCAGTCAGGAGATGCGACTGTGGCGTCACCAGCCCCCAGGACCGTCTTAAACATTACAGCCTCCAGGCACAGTGCTTAGGGCCCGGGAACGCCGCGGGCTGAACCACGACCCCTCAGGGTTTTGGGTCCCAATATCCTGTGATGTTAGCCTGCATGGAAAGGGGGGTTTCTGCAGGTGAGGTTAAGTAACAGATCTCGAGATGGGGAGATGTTCATGGGTTATCCAAACGGGCCCCGCACGCCGTCGCAAGAGAGACGGAAGAAAATGTCGCAAAGAGGAGGAGGAGACGCTGTGGCCGTGGGGCGGAGGCTGGAGTGAGCTACAAGCAGGGACCTCGGCAGCCACCAGGAGGTCGACTAGGCGAGGAGGGGTCCCTGAAAGCTGTCGGTGGGAGCTCAAGCCACCAACACCTGGGTTTCAGCCCAGGGAAACTGAGTTTGGACTTCTGACCTCCTGAACTGTAAGAGGGTAAGTGTATGTTTTAAGCCACCAAGTTTGTAATAATTTGTTACGGCAGCCATGGGAAAACTGATACAAGACCCGAAACAACGAAAGTTCCAACCACGATAAGAAAACTGCAAAATCGAAATTTTAAAAAAAGTACACAAGCATCTAGAAGATGTAGCAAAGCCAGTCTTCAGCACCTCAGCTCCCCCGTAAGGAGCAGTCTTATCTGATGTGGGCCTGGGTGCGGGCTTCTCCCAGCGCGAGGTAGGTGGGGCCTGCAATGCAGAGCGGAGGGTTTGGGTCTCAGAAGGCCTGCGGCCAGCCTGAGCCCTCTGTGTGGGGGAGGCCCAGCCTCTGGCCCCAGGGCACGCAGCACTGCCCCTGAGCAGCAGGGAGGAGCAAAGGGCACAGAGGAGGAGCAGCTAGAGAGGTGGGAGGGCGGCCAGGGCTTGGGATCCCAGAGGTCCGAGGAAAGGCCACGCAGCGTGGCATCTGAGCAAACGATGTCAGGGCGGAGCGAGCCAGCCGAGCAGAGGGCTGAAGAAGAGTATTCCAGGCCTGAGCAAAGGCCCTGAGGCAGGCCTGGGGTTGGCATGTTCCAGGGACAAAAGGAGGTCACCAGGGCTAGGGAAGGAGGGTAGGCGGTGGGGTCAGAGGAGGGCCGATCAGGGAAGGTCGTGTCGGCCACCGAAGGACTTTGCCCTTCACTCTCAGTGAGAAGGGGCCATAGGGGGGTGGGGCGTGAGGCTGTGAGCAGAGTGAGCCGACAGATCTTGTGTCCTGTGGCTTCGGGGTGAGGCTCCCTCTGTGAGGCCTGAGCACAGTGGTAGGACACGGCCAGCCCTGGGCTGATCTGCAGGTGGCAAAGGTGTAGCCCCTCCTGGACCCAGAGGGGCCCTGTGGGGCTGCCCCACCTCGTAAGGGAGCCTCCCTCCCAAGTGTCCATGAGCCCATGGAGGGCACCCTGCATCACTCCGCTCTGGATCCTTCCCAGGGAACTGGAGAAGGAACAGTTAGCGGGTGAAGGCAGAGGGATCAGAGCCCCGTGGGGGCCCAGAGCCTGGAGGCGAGATGTCCCTGCGGGTCTCCAGGAGCACAAGCCGCCCCACCTTGCAGCCTGAAATCCCTGCTGTTGCCACTTGGCTCCTTGCGCCTCTTCTGCTCTAGGTCCATATGGAAAACCAATGACAATCAACAGGTCCATCCATGGATCGATCAATTGGTTTATCACCTGGGCTCAGACAGCATCTCTTAGCAGACGCTGGTTGAGGTGAGCAGAGGCACCTGGTCCAGGCATCGGAGGAAGAGTGGGGCGGGTGAGCCCCCTGCCCCCAGGACTTCAAGTCCAGACTGGTGTCCGAGAAAGAAACAAACGAGGAGCTATCAGCCGGAGGGAACAATGATCGGCATTTGAATATATGTGCATCCGGTATTATTTTTTTCTGAACTATTTACATTACAGATTGTGGTCCTACCCCCCCCCAAAAAAAACAACAGTTATTTTAGCAGCAGAAATAGATTTATTTAGAAACAACAAAGAATTGCAACTTGAGAAACGCAAGACACCGCAGAAGCACAGGCAAGTTCGGCGCACAGAGCAGGGGAACCTCCTTTTGTAGAGGAAAGGGGGAGGGGCGGTGTCGTGGCTTCTCATTGGCTGGTTTGTGGCCGTCTCTCATTGGCTGGGCTGTTCCCCCACAGGAGGAAATCTGCCTTCCTCCCCCTGGGGTAGTAACCTGGAAAACCTCACCTTTGGGGAGGCGGCTGTCTCCTCCCCTTGGGGAAATTGGCAACGAGTGGTAGGCTTGGAGAACCCCCACAGGCCCTCCTGACTCCAAATTTTAGTCGAAGATGCCTTTGTTAATTTTCACAAGCTGTTATGCCATTTTACCCCCAGATTCTTCAGGACGTGTCTTTAAAGAACAGCGGCACTGACCTGCGCAAACGCCATGGCGGGACAGTCCTGTAACCCCATCCCCTTCCCAACGCCGGGCCGGGAGGGCCTGGCTCAGAGTTCCAACAGCCGGCACTCTGCGATGGGGGTGCTCAGGGGGGAAGTGGGGGACGGAAGCGGCCCAGATACCCACGCCAGGCCGTGGTTTGGGAGGAGCCCAAGGGCTGAGCGGCCGCTGCATCTGCGGAGCCAGGTGCGCGCTTGGCGCGGAGTCCTGCAGGGTGGGCACCCCGTTCTCCAAGCGGCTGTGCGCAGGTCTGGGGTGCGGAGTGAGGAAGGCGCCCCCAGTCCTGGCGGCGGGTGTCCATGGGGTGGATCCCCGGGAAGCCCCTGCAAAGCTCTTGTCCCTCGTGGAGCCTAGCGTGAGCCCCTCCCAGGCTGGCAGAGCAGGGCCGCAGCCAGCAAGGGATCCTGCCTGGCGCAGCCCCGGGGCGGGGGTCCGCCCTGTGGGTCAGAGTCCGGACCCGCGCTGTCCCTCTTTGGGCAAGTCCCAGGCCTTAGGGGCGGCGCTTGCCCCTCCCCCTATTCTCCCCCCGCCCCCACAAGAATCGCAGGCCAAGAATCGCTGTTGGAGATGGTTTATTGGGGGGGCAGGGAGGTGATGGAGAGGCGCCGTCCGGGGAGGGCTGGCACACGGCCGGCAGGCAGCACGGCACCAGGACAGCATTCCTGGGCTGGACCCCTCACTGCAAACAGGCGGCAGGTGTGGGGCGACACCCCGTCTCCCAGCCCTGGGCCCCCACTCTGCCCCGCCTGAGTTCTATGGTACTATTTCTACCCTCGTCCCCAAGACGGGGACCCCCACCATGTAGCCTTCTGGCCAGCAGCGCCCCCCACCCTGCTGTGGGTCTGCAGGGCACTAGGAATCACGTTCTGGGGAGGGGTGCCCAGACCA